TTGTCGAGCGTATGTGTAATTTAAATTCCTGCTACATCATATGACATGATTACAAATAGATTAGCAATATTTGTTTAGACTTATCTACATCTCGTTGTCTTATTTTGTAGGCCACCCAACAATGAATTTGTTAGAATATTTAAATAATAAATCACGCATTCATCTAAAAACTTAAGCTTTTAGAATAATTGGTTGTGATCCCATATAATCTCACATGGTATTAGAGCAGGAGGTTCTGAGTTCGAATCTTTCAAGGCCCTATTTACCTCCCCAATTAACTATTTCCAAATTTAGTATTAGGCCAAAAAAAAAAACAAACTAAGCAGGAGCGTTAGAATAATTTTTAAGCTTTTAGAACGGTTGAATGTGGTCCCACATAATCTCACATAATTGATTTGCAAAATTCTCAGTAAAAACCATTTTATTTAATTAAGATGTTACTATGATTTTGCTCAAAAAATTTAAAATACCGACTCGTTTATCTTAAATTAAAATTTTAAGAATAGGCAATGAATAATTATATTTAAATGAATCCCAATTGGTTGATTATGGAAAGCCCCCATATTACAAATTATATCATCCAGTCACGTTCAACGTTGGAGGGCTTCTAATTGTTTTCGTGAATTTTCTCGAAGATGTGTTGTAGGTCAGGTAATCACGTCCTCCCCGTTTTTCTAATGGTTTTCGCAAGGCCAAACGGATCACCTGGTGGTATACCTATGATTAGGGCGAGACGAGAAACCGGTATTTATCATGAAAATACTGTATAAACTTTACTTCCAATTGATGCGATGAATGTAATCAATTGCCGCACAAAAATTGTACGAAAATTTGGGTTTTCCGATGGGATTCGCTATAGGCTTCTTATAATTTTTCTTAAATGTCTTGAGAAATCTTAATGTCTGACGTTTGTGTGGAAATTCAACCAAATGATATACATCCAACTTTTCAGTTTGTCGATGACTCTAAATAACTCTTATTGAACTGATATCGTACATTGTAATAATTACTGTTCTATAACTACACTTTTTTTTTCCTTATTGAACTGAAAAGGAGTGAGCTTAGATAGGTCACTGTCACCATCCATGAATGTAAACACACAAATATTCGAGGAGGAGAGTAGAAATTGATATGTGAAAGCCATGTGTTGCTTGGAATACACATCAGCGTAGCCAAGATTGGCCACCTAATAAAGTCCATCAACTTTATAGGGAACCATTCAGGTCGTTGTCTTGTCGATCTAGGGAACGCAAGAAACGTTAGTGGGTTGCAACAACTCCAAGCACCGTACGTTAATCTAAACAACAAAGACTTAGAACATGTTCAAAGGTTGGCCATTTGACTCGGACATTACAAAGAATCACCAGGACCGCATTCAGGTCGTCGTCTTGCCAATCTAGGGATCGCATGAAACGGTAGTGGGTTGCAACAACTACAAGCGCAAACGTTAGTGGGTTGCAACAGGCCAACAAGTACAAGCACCACACGTTAATCTAAACAACAAAGACTTCTTTTTCATAAAGACTAAAGAACAAAGACTAGGTTTTTTTCTGCTTGAGTGAAATAAGTACAAAACTGTTATGCGATCACTCGGAAAAAAGGGACTAAATAGACACCCTTGACTATATAATTTTCAGTAGTTTTAGAGCTTCATTATGTTATGCAACAATTTCTGGAACCCAATTACATCTCTTTTTATAAATTTTATCAATTTTTTATTAACATTCCTTTTGGCTCTGAGAATGTCCTCGTATACAGATTTATTAGGCATACTTGCTCAGATCCAATTCCAAAAGTCGAGCTACCTTGAGTTGGTTAAGGAAGGATTAATACTATTAAATATCCCAAACTGATACCCCATGATGTATTTATCACAAAATAATTTTTGTCTCACAAATATTTTTAAATTAGAGTCCCATAACACACCTACTTTGAACTAATTTTTCGTCATGCAAAAAAAAAAAAATCCAAATTGGTACCTTGACCCAAATCTACCATCGGTTACTATTGAGTTCAATAATCCCGTTAAAATGCATACGTGTCGACACACGTGGCAGACGACTGCAAGACGGATCACGCGTGGCAGATAGTCTGTAAGACATATCCGATGTGGAAAATGGCGGAATCAATATGGAAATCCATATGTGTTGACATGTATGCATTTTAATGGAAAGTAAATTTGGGTCAAGGGTACCGATTTGAGATTTTTCAAATTTCATTGATAATTGTTATGATTTTTGGTGTATTTTCTTTTCTTTTTTGCTAAACATTCCTTTTGGATCTGAGAAGGTCCTTGTATGTAGGATTTTATTAGACGACTTGCTCATCATTAATTCCGAAGGTGAGCTAAGTTGAATCGGTGAAGGAAGGGTTAACACCATTAAAAATTTCAAAATGATACCTTATGACACATTTACTTCAAATTAAATTTCGTTTCACAAAAACTCCTAAATTGGAACCCGTGACACATTTACCTTAAACTGATTTTCGTCACACAAAAAAAAAAATCTAAACTGGTACCTTAACCAAAATCTACCATTGATTAATATTCTATTCAATATCCTGTTACAATAAATATGTGTCAATACACATCACAGATGACTGTAAGATGGATTGCATGTGGCGGACGAATGTAAGACAAATCCAATGCGGAAAATGACAGAATCGACTGGGAAATCCACGTGTGTTGACATGTATGTATTTTAACAGAAGATAGATTTGGGTCAAGAGTACCGATTTGGAATTTTTCATGAGGTGAAAATTAGCTTGAATAAATGTGTTAAAGAGGTTCTCTTTAAGGATTTTCTGGGGATGAAAATTTGTTTGGAGTGAATGTTTCATGGAGGTACTGGTTTGAGATTTTCAACGGTATTAGCTCATGAAGGGATTAGAACTTCACGCCTCGGAAAACATCAGCATCTCAATATAAATTTCAAAGCATGGTATAATCATAAGGAAGCAATTTTTAAGAATCTTTAATGCCGATTAATTTCAATGCAGAACTTAATCAGAAGAAAGCAATCTCTAGATATTTGTAAATATTTCTCTGCCATCCTTAGCTAATGTCGTCCTTAGCAAAACCATTGATCATGACGCACCCAAGGAAAAGGGAGAGAGGGAGAAAAACAAAACCAAAACATAGTAAGTCCTGTGGTGGATGTTAGGTTTAACTCAATTAAAACGGCTCTTTGCTTTGATGATCGATTCTTTTTTCTCTTAGTTTTTTTTAGTAGGTCGAGTTTTATATCATCCACCTTACTTTTTAAAAAGTGTCCATTTGGAGGGCTAGGAATCATCTTTTTCTACACTGTCTAAAAGCGGGTGTGTTGTCGATTGGATATATGTGTTCACCCTAAATTTTTGAACCGTGTAAATTCTAATAATTCAGACTACCATGTTAACGCGAAATCTGATCATTTAGATGGTGATATTAATTTAAGAAGACGGTTGACCTTGATTGAAGAGAGACTTTCGTTAGACATTATCAAGTTAATACTACTTGTTGAGTGTATGTGTGATTAAAGTTCTCGCTACATCACATAATGGGATCGCCAATAAATTAGCTATATTTGGTTTGTCCCACTTACATGTTGTCTTAATCTTCTAATTTCCCCCACCAAAAACAAATAATAAAATGCCAAATACCTATACGTAACTCCTTGGATGGATGGGATTTCGCGCATTACATATAATTTCTTCAATGAGTCTAAGGAACAGACCTCAACTTTCACCCATGCTATGCCACTATCCAACAATGGATCGGTTTGCAAAATTCTCGATAAAAACTATTTCATCTGATCGTGATATCATATTGAGCATCTTGATATATTTCATTCCGAAATTTTGTAATTCCGACTCACTTATCTTAAATTTAAAGTTAGAATTTAATCCTGATTAGTTGATTGTCCGAAAAGAACACAAAATAGAAATTATGGCGGTTAGCCAATCTAAAGGGAGGGTCAGAGTCTTCCCCCATCTTCGTTTCCTACCAAAGCAAGGGATAAGGGCAAAAGCCGACAAGAACCTTACTTTAAAAACCAAAAGTCTCCGGTCAACGTTCAAAGTTGGAGGGCTTCTAGCTGCTCCCGTGAATCCTCGGAGGAGATGTGCTTGTAATCGCGAGCTCCCAATTTTTAATGGTATTTTCGCAGGGTTAACAGCTCACGCGGAGGCATGTACACCTATCTCTGCTGGTGATTGACGTTACGTGCACATAGATTATAATTACCGCAAGACAGAGAGACATCGTGAAAATATTGTATAGACTTAACTCATTATCACGACATAATGATCATATGAAGACTTGTGTTTTCAATGGGATTTGGTGTAGGGTTTTCATGGTTTCTCTTAAATGATTCAAGAAATTAAAAGGTCTAACAACGCCTTGAAAGTTCACGCGAATGATATACAAAAGTTATAGAAGGATTTATATGAGAAAGTTAAATATTTTAGGCTATGTGGGCAACTTTATAATTTGTGCCATTTAGGGTTTTGCTATATATATTTATGGCGAAACAGGTTTCTAAAAGAGAGGCAGGGTGTGAGAAAGAGCGGCTATACATTTTTCTACGTTATTAGTTAAACGAATCTCTCTTCTATCGATACGTAGATATTACGTGAACATCTCTCCGCCGAACCACGAAATTCTTGTATCATGTGAATTTCTATTACTTTCTTGCATCGTTGATAAGATCGAATTTAGATATTCGACAGGAACATCATTGGCTCATTGACTCTTCCCTCTGTCACGTGTTGACTGCGATGAGATACTAGTGGAGCGAAATGGAAAAGAACAAAAAAGAACAAATTCATCCACACACCATCATCTTAGGACCCACCAAATTCTAGCACTTTAAAACGAGGTTAAAAACGTGGGGGTTCTGCCGATCAATAAACAAAAGCAAACTATCACGTTTTGCATCAAGTTGAGCTGATAGGTCTCTAGCTCCAACACCGTAGAGTCTCTCTAACCAGTAAAAGACTCTGAAGCGCCTTCAATTATGCCGAGACCAACCCCATCACCTCCTCATATTCACATCTTCCTCCTCTTCTACATCCCTTGTCTCGTCTTCCTCTGCTTTCTCTCCCGTGTTGCAGAATCTCAAATTCAAGATCAAGAACAACAAGTCCTGTTGAAGCTGAGGCAATCCTGGAAAGACCCATCTTCCCTCGCCCACTGGGTCGCCTCCAATTTGTCCTCCCACTGCACATGGCCCGAGATCACATGCCAAGATGGCTCGATCACCGAGCTCAACCTCGTAAACCTGAACTTAAATTATTCGATCCCCCCATTCATCTGTGACCTCGAGAATCTGACCAAGCTCGACGTCTCCAACAACAAAATTCCTGGAGAGTTTCCCACAGTTCTCTACAACTGTTCTAAGCTCGTGCACCTCGACCTGTCCCAGAATTACTTCGAAGGTCCTATTCCATGTGATATCGACCGCTTGGCCAATCTTCAGGTCCTGATTCTCGCCACCAACAGCTTCTCATTCAACGTCCCGGCGTCGATCGCGAGGCTGCAGAGGCTGAGGATCCTTCACCTTTACCAGTCCAAGTACAACGACACTTACCCTAAAGAGATTTTTGGCCTCTCCGATCTCGAAGAACTGAGCCTTGGGTACAACAACCAGTTTGCGCCGTCACAGCTACCGCAGAACTTCACCGCCCTGAAGAAGCTGCGGTTCTTCTCGATGCCGCAGACGAACCTGTTTGGTGGAATCCCAGAGACGGTCAGCAATATGAAGGCTCTCGAGCACTTGGACTTGGGGATGAATCCACTGAGAGGAGAGATCCCGGGCAGCATTTTCGCTTTAAGGAACTTGAGCGAGTTGTTCATGTACAAGACCAATGTCTTCGGGTCGATCCCTCAGGCAGTAAGCGCTGCGAACCTGCGCGTGATCGATCTGTCTGTGAATAATTTGACGGGGAACATACCTGAAGATTTCGGGACGCTCAAGAATCTATCCAGCTTGAATTTAGAGTTCAATCAATTGTCCGGTGGAATCCCAGAAGATATCAGCCGTCTTCCCACTTTGTCTGATGTCAGGCTGTCTTACAACAATCTATCAGGCACGATCCCCCCGGACTTCGGCAAGTTTTCCGCACTCAGAAGATTCGAAGTGGCCTTCAACAACTTGACTGGCACGTTGCCGGAACAACTGTGCCATGGCGGCACGCTGTATGGGTTGGTGGCAATGCATAACAATCTCGGCGGGGAGTTGCCAGAGTCACTTGGAAATTGCAGTACTTTGTACATTGTGATGTTGAACAACAATGGATTCACTGGCAATGTGCCTCAAGGACTCTGGATGTCGCCGAACTTGACAACTTTGATCTTGAGTGGTAATGGGTTGACTGGCGAGCTTCCCGAGGAGCTGTCCCCGAACCTCACTCGGATCCAGATGAGCAACAACAGATTCTCTGGCAAGATTTCGAGCACAGTGTCTTCGTGGAGGAAGTTGGTGGTGTTTGATGCCAGTAATAACTTCCTGAGTGGCACCATTCCGACTGAATTAACCGAGCTTCCTTCTCTGACGACGCTTTTGCTAGGTCAGAACGAGCTCTCCGGAAATCTTCCCACAGCTATTGTTGCGTGGAACTCCTTGACCACTCTGAATCTTAGCCACAATCGATTGTCAGGACCGATTCCTAGCAAAATCGGTCTTCTACCGGTACTCATGCAGTTGGACCTATCTGAAAACCAACTGTCCGGCTTGATTCCTCCTGAAATCGGCCAGCTGAAGCTGAACCTTCTCAATTTATCCTCCAATCGCCTCAATGGACGAATCCCAGACGAGTTAGAGAACGCCGCATATGATGCCAGTTTCCTGAACAACCCGAGCCTCTGTGCATCCAATTCGTTCATGAGGCTCAATGTCTGCAATTCCCAATCCCGTAGATCGAGCAAAAGCTTGCTGACCAATCTCGCCTTGATTGTGATCTTGGCCATCGCTGCAGTGATATTCGTTTTGTTGGTGGCAGTATTTACAATCAGAGCTTCCAGAAAGAAGAGAGACGGGTTTGATTCAACTCCGAAACTGACCCCATTCCAAAGTTTGAATTTTACAGAATCGAATGTTCTGTCGGGATTGAAGGAGCATAATGTGATCGGAAGTGGCGGATCAGGAAAAGTATACAAAATTATCGTGAATCATTCTGGTGACACCATCGCGGTAAAAAGGATTTCAAATGACCGAAAATTGGACGAGAAGCTGGAGAAGCAATTCGTAGCAGAAGTGGGGATACTTGGGAAGATAAGGCATCTGAACATTATCAAATTGCTGTGCTGTATTTCTTGTGAGAACTCGAAACTCATAGTGTACGAGTACATGGAAAATCACAGCTTGGACCATTGGCTTCACAAGACCAAAAGATCGTCACCCGTCTCAGGTGTAGCCAACAATATGTTCTTGGATTGGCCCAAGAGGTTACAGATTGCGCTAGGAGCCGCTCAAGGACTTTGCTATATGCACGATGATTGTTCACCGCCCATCATCCACCGAGACGTGAAATCGAGCAACATTCTCTTAGACTCCGAGTTCACTGCAAAACTTGCTGACTTCGGCCTTGCAAGAATGTTGGCCAAGCATGGAGAATCTGTCATGGTGTCCAGTGTTTCCGGATCTGCTGGCTATCTTGCACCAGGTTTGTCTATTCACTTGACATGAATCCATCTCAGCTATGCAAGCTCACCTTCGTCATATCATACCAGCAAGAATATATAATTTTGTATTGCCCCTTCTTTGTTGAATAACAGAGTATGCTCAGACGACGAAAGTTAATAAGAAGATCGATGTTTATAGCTTCGGGGTCGTTCTCTTGGAACTGACCACCGGGAGGGATGCTCAAGGCGGGGACGAAGACATGTGCCTCGTTGATTGGGCATGGCGTCACATCCTAGATGGCAAGGCAATATCTGATGCGATAGACGAGGAGATCAACAACGACTCATTCCTAGGTGCAATAAGCAATGTCTTTAAGCTCGGGATCTCTTGCACTGCGAACAGTCCTTCCAAGAGGCCTCCGATGAAGAAGGTAGTGCAAGTGCTGCTCAAATGTAGCAATCCGCTTTACGATGTCGAGCAGACATCCCGACATAACTTAGACGTTGCCCCCCTCCTCGAAAATCCTAGGCATGAGGAAATGCCGCAGAACGCTTATTGTTTTCTCAGGTGCAACACTTACTGACTCTCAGCACTAAAAACAGTTGCAGAAGCTTTGTGAAGGGGACTCCCGACTTCTGAAAATCCATTTCTGATTCAGCAGATGCTAGTGGGTGCTTTTATAATCACAAATTACCCATTTGGGGTCTTTAGGGTATTGGATGTTATCTTGAATGTGATTATTTGAATAAGGTGTGAATGAAGGGGTTAATGTTATTTGATTCGTTGCTTTTTTTTCGAGAATTCTCTAAGATTTGAGTATTTGAGAATTCTCCCCCTTTTAAAGCTGCCGACGAGGCCTACATAGTGAAACACCGGTCCAACACATGGAATTGAATTCTATAAAAACGAATGGCATGAGTGATCAATCCACTCGAATATAAGAAAATGATACCAACTCCTCGTCAAAAGGGCTTTCAAACGATTACAGGAAGAGGACTTAATGGGCCGAATCGGGCCTTCAGGATACGCTGGCCCATGATATTTTGGATTTTGCTTCGTCGAAATTGTTGGGCCTATCAAGTGAACGCCCTTGATTGATGACGACGGTCAAACATTGCACGCATCGCTGTCCCTTTTTCAAACAACCAATTTCTATTGCGCGATGAACTTAGGCGGCTAATTGGATCGTGTGTGTCAATGAAAATTGATAGGTGAGGCCTGGAGGTATTTGTCAATGGATGGATGTGAACATTAATTGATTTGTTTGAAGGACAAACCAAATAGTTCATTAATCCAAGGACCGAAGCACTCCCAAGCCTCGTACCGCATGCGACGAGAATTGTCTAAAATAAGCATTTAATTTGAGTCGCCACTAGCCAAAATCAAGAGTTGGCTAGAAACCCTAATCGAAATGCAAGAGTGTCGTCTCGATACGTGCGAAAATCAGAAATTCTAAGGATCAAAAACTTGATTACATTAGTGATCTAACTAGTATCCTTTCGGTACCTAAACTTGATCGCTCGCTAACTAACGCACCAAGGCAGCCTATGCAGAAGCCTAAAGCTCGTCCTAACCATGCTAAAAATTAATAATAGCAAACAATGTATAAAAGGGGCGCAACCAGATAATCGGCATGAAAATAAACAATCGCGACCTAACATCATCTCTAAAAAAAGAAAAGGCAATCAAAAGTCCTAAGGTAAAGCCTAACAGTTTGTTCAATTTTTTGGAGCAATTTTTTAAAGATTTTTCTCATTTTTTCTAAGCTTTTAAAACTAAATCTAGGATGAAATTAATACTAAGACCTAATGAAATTAACCTAAAAACAAAGTCACTAAGACCTAATGAAATTAACCTAAAAACAAAGTTCTAAACACTTCCTAGTTTTCTGAATTTTTGGAATTTTTCTGAATTTTTAAAATATTTTCCGGACTTTTTAATATTTTTTGGGTTTTTAAACATTTTCGGATTTTTTTGGACTTTTTCATTTTTATATTTTTTAATAATAAAATAAGAATTCTGGACCGAGTCCCCTGACCCGATCTGTCCCGGCTACCTGACCCGGTTCTCTGACCGCCCAGGAACCCCTTTTTCTATTTCTTTTCTGAATTTTTTTTATTTTTCTTTTCTATTATCTCTTTTTTCTATTTCTCTTTCCTCTTTATTCTTTTTCTCTTTCTTTTCCATTTTTCTTCTTCCCCTCGGAACGTCTTCTCCCGAGAGTTCTCACTGAGAACGTCTTTCTTCTCAGCGATTCACCGGCGACCACTACACCGAACCAAAACCGGCCTCCTCGACCGGCGCCGACGTCGAATCTGCTCTGGCCAGAATCACGACACCACCATCACCGAACAACCATCCTTAATCCAGCACTACCAGCCACCAAAACGCCAACACTGACAACCATTTTTCATTTTTCGATCACCAGACTTCTCGCGGCAACAATATGTGCAAAACGCAAACAAACAGACATACACGCATATGAAACAGAGATAATGAGGTGACGGTAACGGCCTCAAGCTGCGGGCCTCTCAGATGGGGAAGGAATTCTCCGGAGGGGATACGTGTACGCGCGGCCGACTCGGACAATGTGCAAACCATGGCATAAACACAAGAAAAACACGAAGTCAGTATTGATTCGACGAATACGAGTACTAAACAAGCACAAAAACTGAGTTCTAGGCATCAATCCCACAAAAAATCATTCAGACTTCCATTTGGACATTTCATCGAACACATGGTACGCAAGTTGAGATATACGATCTTGAGTGAGATTCAATGCGATTTCTAGCTTTAACAAGAAGCACAGGAACCTAAATAGCAATATTGCACTACAAGCTTGCGTTAGTTTGCAACGAAACTCCAAGAGACTACATAACCAAATTCGACGTTTTAGGCTTAAAGAGTTTCATTGAGACATTTAGTCAAACAGGTAATGTGCGACTTAAGATGCCACTCCTAGGTTCGGATTTACTACCATTCATGGCCTGAACCTAGCATGTTAAGCTCTAAATCGACATTGTTCATCATGAATCAGTGTGGGTCTCGTGCGATTTTCGGGGCTTACCCGGTTCGGGTAGTCTTCGTGACGGCGAAACGGCGACCGGTAGGCGAGCCTCCGACGATAACGACGGCGATTAGGGCGGACCACCCTGTGTTGTAGTTGTGCGGACGGCGGTGTTCGCACGCTGAAACCTTCTGTCCGCGGATGGAAAGTCGCTACGGTGACGACCGACGATCGACGAATTGATTTCCGGCAAAAGTCGACGGCCGTGCCGGTGAGCGACGAGCGAAGGAACTCCTCTTTCTCAAGGACAAATCCCACTACTCTCTCCTCCGGTCAGTCACCGGAACACCAGAAAAATTTTTCCCTTTTCCAATCCAGCCAAACTTCCCCCCTCGCCAACATTGTCTAATATGTTCTAATATGTTCCAATACAGCCAAACTCCGGTCAGTCCTCTTCTTGTTTTCAAATTAAATTTTTTTTAGAAAAAAGAAAAAGAAAAAAAAAGAGAAAATATGTTCTAATATATTCTACTAATGCAAATGCACCTTGTGTCTACATTCTATGCAATTCAATGAAAAGTATTTTTGTTTAAGAGTTAAAAATTAATCTCGAATTTTCTATGCAATTAAATCTTAAGTGACTAGGTAAATTTTAGGTGTCAATAGCGTGCTGGCACTATTGCGAGATGATTAAGCAGATGTAGGCACACATTTACTTTAAGTGCGTTACCACATCAATTTATTACAATCTATTCAATTGCTTTAGCAATCTCCACTCCTGCAAACTTCATAATATATATATATATGCTTAAGCTTTCTCATTAGTTTCCAACTGAAAATTGCAAATCCCAAACTCTTTCTACGAAAAAATAACTTTTCTAGCCTAGGTAAGTCAAACGTTCCTCGTAAGAACCAAAGTATAGACGCTCTAATTTGATATTCTCTAGGCGTACGAGAGCTTCTATTTCTAACCCATCATAGTTTGGTGCAATCAAACTACAAGATCTCATGAATCCAATTAAAGTAGAGATCCGAAATACGAACTCCGCATGTCATTGTGCAGAATTTAAGACTGTCATGATCATGTAATGAGGGTTAAAATTTCGTGGACCTAATAGGAAGATTTAGTGGTCAGGCATTGCATTGAATGAGGAGAAATTTCTTATGAAGATTCGATTAAGGACACAATAATTCATAAAGAACTCTAGAAAGACGTGGAACAGATTATCTTTCGCTAACCCTTTAAAGAGAGTCAATGAAAAATCTTGCATATTTTATGATAGATCAAAGGAAAGAAAGGTCAAAAGGCATCAACGGGCGGCAACTAGCAATTTGAAGTTAGTTAAATTCGACGCTCCCAATCTGACTTGACCCTTGAAAGATTTGGACCAATACTAATAATTTGGTTGCATGACATAGAAATTTCACTAAATTATTATTAGCAAAACTAGGCTTTTGGAATAAGTTGATTAGAAAAGGTGTGTTGCTTGTTCAAGGGAGCAAAGGCAAAGTCCAACATGATGCATTGCCGAGTTCTTCCCATTGATTTGGCGAAACAAAAGCAAAAATGGACATGCTCATGTATTATGTTGAAGATAATTTCATCTTGAGTACCATTGTGGGTTAAATGAATCCTGGAAACCCTAGTGTTTTAATCTTGCATGCTTGGAAATATGTTCATCCTTTATATATGATCAGCTAGTTTAGGTTTCTTTTCTTAGGTCAAGCTACAAAGCTTAAGGTACACTCATCTTAGCTGCTACATAGGTTGCTACCCAAAAATACATCATTAGACCATCAAATTTCGGGAAAAAGTGTCGGAAAAGTTATAAAGCATTTTCGCATTATTGGCCAATTTAGTCATAAACTTATTTTTGGTGCCAATTGAGTCCTAAATCTTTTGTCTTTGTGTCAATTTAGTCCTTCATGTAAATTTAGGCCGATATTATTAACGTGGATGCTAGCTAGCCTATGTGATATTGTCATTTACTGACGTAGATGATTTTTAATAATATTTTAATAATTTTTCGATTTTTTAAATTTTTAATTTTTTTATTGTTTTCTTTTTTTTCATCTCCTTTCTTCTACCTTTTGCAGTAATGGCCGTTTGGACACTGCTGGCCACTAGCCATGGCTAGGCGCCTAGCCTCATCGGGCGAGGTCGCCATCGCCGGACGAGGCCACCGTCGCCCACCACACAGGCAAGGCCCGGCCAACCCTCGCACGGGCGAGCCCCGTCTAGGGCAAGTAAGGCCCGTTGAGGGAAATTATATTGTTCCACCAGCCTAAGATGAAGGCTGTATATCAAGAACGATTCAGCAAGACCTATAGAAAAAAGATCAATTAGTAAATATATAGTCAATAACATTTGAGTGGCCATTGTTAAATCTTTAGTAGTTTAGAACTATTGTGGTTTGCTA